CTCTGAAGAGAAGCCATCAGTGTTACTTGTTGAGAAACTGGCACCACAAGGACGAATAGAGGAGCACAGCGACGTAGTTGTGGGTACTAGGAGGGTACTAGGGGCAATCAGGTTCAAGCTACTCACTTCACAACAAGAAAATACCATTTTAAGGCAAGTGAAGGTCTTAGTATGCTTGTTTTGGGCAATTTGGAGAATCAGATCCTACCTCAGACTGGATTTGGATTCCACTAAATCCTTTTCCTTAGGTGTTGTAGGCAAAGTACTTTTAGCTAATCAACACAATTCTCCTCACATGACACATTGGCTCAGCTACACAAGCCCAGGCTGAGCCTGACTAATGTAAAACACTATGCTGTCTCTCCAAATTGTCCTACCTTCTCATTTTGTTTTATCTGTTAACGGGAGTAACTAACACTTTTGTGTTCGGAAAGCTTTGCACCTTTATGGAATTGCACTGAACTTGCTGACTTTTTGTAGCTCTGTTTATGTCAAAAGAGGTCTGTTCCTTCCAGTGTTTCTGGAAACTGTCAGGATTATTTCAGCACAGATTTTACAATTTAGTCCTTTTTTTTCTCTAAGTTTTAGCAGGGACAGAATATTTCTCATAGCAGGTGAAATTCCCACCAAGGCTGTCATTCCCCAGAAGGAGCCTGAGGGGTGAAGTGAAAGGAAGGCAATTTTCTTTCTTACTTCCAAGGCCTTTGGGAAGGAGTATGACAGCAAAGACACTTCCTCAGGCAGGAATTCGGGACTGGTTGTTTTCCTTTATGCTCCCAGTTGATGGCTCGAACCCCATAATCCACCCCTCAAAAACCAGAGATAAGCCACCTGTAGCTCAGGAAACTTGGTTTTCCCTCATCTGTTTCTCAAGTCTACTAGGTGCTATGATCTGAAAACACCCACTTGGAAGCAAACAACATTATAAAAGATAAAAACCTCACGTGAGAAGGTTTCAAAGCAGCAAGGATCAAGGGAGGTATTCTAAAAGGCTGTGGTGAGTGCAGGGAGAAGGGGAAGGAGCTGCAGTCATGGTGGACCCATCCGCTATGAAAGCACAACTTGAAATTTCATTTCAAACCTTCGGATATTAAGCACCCATGGAAACAGATCCAAATCAAATTGAAAAGTGATTGAACTAAACATGGAGCTGTGGTTGTGATTTAAAACCAGTGGGAGTGCTGGAATGGTGCAGTTCCAAACCATCATGCACGTTTGTGCTTACACAAGGAGAGGAAGGTTTCAACAAGTACTGCAGAGCAGAGAGGGAGGAGGAGGAGGGCGGATCGCCGACAGCACAGCTACGCTTTGGCTTCTTCTACACGCAAAGTCCAAGGAGGTTAAGCAAGAGCTCTGTAAAATGCTGAAGATTTTAGAAGTGTAATGGCAGGTAGAAAAGGACACTGGTCTTGTGTCAGTGGCAGCCCCAGTGTTAGGAGACAGTCTAGGCTTCTAGGAGGAGAAAATAGAAGAGAGGAAAAGAAGTAGGAGAGGGAAAAGGGATGGGGAAAGGGGCAAAAAAGCGCAAGTCATTAGTAAACATGAACATTGAGGTAGCACTCTGCACAACAAGCAATACTTCATTTAGTGCAGCCAGGAGATTTGCCAAAAGCCAGATTAGAGACACGTGGAATTTTGCTTTTAGAGGTGCCTGAAAACCTCTCACCAGTCATGCTGCAGCGTGACAGAGGCACACGCCACAGTCAGCCATGGCAAATCAGCATCAGTGACAAACAGGTACCACACAGCAGCTCAGGAAGCTGCTTAAAAGCACAATTTGCATTGAAAACAGTGACAAAGTATTTCTGTGACCCAGCCTTGGATGACAGAATTCCAAGCAGGCTGGCTGGAGGGAAAGTCCAGCTAGGCAAAGTATGACCATGGAGCAGGGATACTTCCCTAGGGTACTTCTCACCTGCCAGCAAGACAATGAACAGCATCTTGGGCAAGAGGCATCCAGATTAAAGCTGTATGATCATCCTTGATGGATTTCGTTCCAGAAATTTGGTTTGTTTTTGTTCAAATATAGAATTCCTTTGAACTCTAGGCAAATATCCTGCAATAAGGAGTGGCAAATCAAAAATTACCCATTTATTTTCCATTTCAAACCTGCTGTTAGAGTCTTACTAAGCCCTCTCTAACCTCTGCATCGTGAGGGTGAGCAGTGAGTTCCCTACCTCAGCACCTCATGCCATCAGGGATTATAAACCATTACTGATTCCCCCAGCCCCTCACTGATTCACTGACTGCACCAGCCATGTGCGGCTTCCCTTGGAATGCTGCTCCAACCACTCTATTTATCCTTATAAGGAAGAACAGGATTAACAGAGAGAGTTTCAGTTGATGTGCTGAGCACCCAAAGCCAGAGCTCCTGCTCTGTAGCTCTCAAATTCCCAGAAAAACAAACCCCCACCAGCCAAGGATGCAATGGGCACGTAAGGCTTAGCGCTGCCAAGAACAGAACCCTTCAGAGAAGGTGCCAGTGTCTCCCTCTCCAAAATCCTAACTATACACATCCCTGCAGCAATGGTTTAAATCAGCACTGTTAGAATAAAAGGAATTCAACAGTTGGTACAGGGTTTGCCCCCGAGTTACATTAGTTTTGGAATTCTGCCATCTGCTGCATTAAGGGTATTTCGGAGTGAGGGATGGGGCTGGGGCAGCACAGGCTGCCAGGCCACTGCCAAGATTTCAGTCCTGACTAATTCAAACCTCTGCCGACACACACACCACATGTTTGGAGAGAATGCTGTACGTAAGAAAACAGTATCAAGTCATCACCGTGTTTTATTTGATTGGTGAAAAAAAAGGGGCAGCAATGCTTCCTGTGCTCCAGCCTGGAGAGATCAACATTTGTATTTGCAAATGGCTTAACTACAGCTTTTCCTTGGAGTCTGGTTCAGAATCCAACTTAAACCCAATGCTGCTTTTAAAAATCTGTCTGTATCTTTTAACACTGGTTTTGTAGCAAAAAGCTGATCTCCTTGAGCATCACCTTCCTTAGTCTTCTCTCAGCTGCTCTGTTTCCCAGCTCTGCACTGGGCTCACATTCCACATCCCTAAGAACCATTTCAGCTTTCAGAGACAGGTTAGGGAATAGATCCAGCTGAAAACAAATAAGCCAGCCAAATCTTGGAGGTGGCTTGAAGCCAGGGACTCCAGTCCTGTTTGACTCCAGTCAAACACAGAACCGGGCACTACTGATGTCCATTACCTGGTCCAGGTGTTCCTGCAGTAAGCTGCTCCTCAGTTCTGAAAACCTCTCCAATGCCCAATGGGAATTCAGCATTCCTCCCTCCTCTCAAACGGATAACCATGGACATTTCAAGTATTCCACAAAGAAGGGGGTAGGGGGAAAGAGGCTGTGAAGTAATTGTGTCATATAAATCTTCTGTTATTCTGGAAAATCTAATTAACTTGATGCTCATGACTCCTCATGCTTTGACACTGCTCCTACCACTTTGATGTCACTTTTAGACAGACTTTAACAAGGGAATAAAAAAATCCAACTCTACCCCCACAAAGAGGGAAAGTATTAATAAATTAAACAGCTTCAGACACATAAAAGTATCTTTGATCAAAGTTGTTAGCATTTAGTGTGTGAAGAGTTAAACCTCCACAAAGCAAGAGTGAAGCAAACAACAAGGAATCTTTTAAGCACAAGTCAGAGGCTCAATAAAAAATCCTGACGCATTTAATTAGCAAGACCTAGAGTATCATAAATCTGGTTTTATTCTTACTTCCTTATAGTTATCTGCATTAAAAAAGAGAGAGGAAGTAGCCTCAGGAAGGTTCAGAAGTGTTCTTAGTTTCAGTTAATGATGAAAGATGCACAGATTCCTTTTGACTGTATTTACAACGACAAATGTAGTACAAAGATCAACTTTTATATTCCCATCCTCAGTAAGGACATGAAACTCACTCACAGTCTAAATCAAACTCTAATATTCCAAACAGAAGTATAGCAAAGAGGTGTCTTAATTCATTCCCACTCCCACACCTTCATCATTATTTCCTGCATTTTGTTTTCCTTGGGGCTGTGCCTATGGATTAGGAGGGATGATAACACTGGGAGTATCCAAACAATCTCAGCAATGATCTGTACTGCTAAAGATGAGCTGGAGATCGTCATAAGGTAGATCAAATAATTAGTCCAATGCCAGAATGACAATTGACTTTGGAATATCTAATCCTCAAGAAAAGAGAGGTGCCACAGTATGGGCTGTCAGAGTGCTCACCACGGAAGGAAACAGCAGGTTGGAATTTGGTAGGAAACCCAACTCACAGTAAAGGCTCAAAGGGAAGGAGTGTTTATCATATAGTGTCAGTAAGAGAAGACAAACCTCAGCATGTTGAGCTGATTGCAAAGATCAGTTATTCTCCAGGTTCCTCACAAGTCTGAAATATCAGCCCACTTAGGTCAAAAGTTTCTTGCAGTCAGAACTAACCTGATGCTACAAAAAAAAAAGGTGCAGAAGGCTTCAATGTCACCTGGGACATTGCTAAAGCAAGTGTGGGGAGATGTGCACAGGAGGGAGTTTGGGGTGGAAGGACAAGCTGCAGCAGGACACAGCAGGGTCATTTCAGTAGCAGCTCAGCAGTGAATAAAAACTGCATCAAAGGATGGTGGATTTGGAAATACATCAGTGTCAGTCTCACAGGGAACAGGAGAAGTCACAGGTCAGGGGAGAGTTCAGCTATGGATATTATGGAGTCACTGGAAAGCCATTTTTATCAGTGCCCTAGAAATTGCCTTCCCAACACTGACCATGGATAAAGGACACAATGTCTTCAGAACGAGGCCTCGTGCAAATAAGCCATTTCAAACTCCAAAGAAAAATAAGCTCTATTTTGCTGCAAAGGAGATTATGGAAACCAAAACCAACCCCCTTGGAGGAAACAGGACTGAAAAAGAAGATGCACTTGGTCATGGTGAAGCTTTACTCCTCCAGTAACAAATAAAGAGATTGTTATGTTTCGTGGGGACACAAAGGACATACCTGTGCGGTGATCTTCTAGTCCATGGTCACCGTTTTCTACCACTGTTGGCCCAGAAGCTGAAGTATCTACGAGAAATCAAAGGAACTGTTAACACTGGATGAAGTCAGTCTTAATCCAGAACAAGACTGTAAAACACCAAAACCATTTAGGCTGGAAAAGACCTCCAAGAGCGACGCGTCCAACCTGTGACCCAACCCACCACCTTGTCAACCAGACCAGAGAACTGAGTGCCACATCCAGTCAGTTGTTCCTCAAACACCTCCAGGGACGGTGACTCCACCACCTCCCTGAACAGCCCCTTCCAATGTCTGACAGCCCTTTCCAGGAAGAAATTCCTTCCAAAACACATAACATTGCTAAAGCAGGTATCAGGGTAGATCCAAAGGAGGGTAGCTCAGGGAGGAAGACCACCAATTCCAAAAAAACCCATGGAAAATATTTATCACTGATAGATTTAGTCAATCTTGTTCTGACATCATCAGATAAAATTTTAACCAGCACCAGGAGTTACACACTGAACTCGGAAAACATGGCAGCACTGGAGAAGAGGGAAGGCTTGGAAGCTGAAGGCGGGTTGACTTTAGATAATAGAAGTTTTTACACTGAGGGTGATGAGGCACTGCCACAGGCTGCCCAGAGAAGCAGGTTGTATCATCCCATCACACAGTGGTGTAAGCAGACTTGGTTGAACACAATTTTGTCAGACAGGCCACAGAGATGCTCC